CCCCAAAACCCCAAAACCCCAAAACCCCTGAAGGCGATATCCCTTTATTTTAGAAGAAATAATTTAATTGATAAATTAATATAATGATAATGACATGATTTATATAATTTTCTCTGCCTTAATTCAGTTCTTTAAAACATTAGATCCTGCTGATAGTTGTCAATTTAAGGTTACTACTTTTGTCTCTTATATTTAATTTGGCTCATTTTTCTCAGATTGATTTTCTTAATCTTCACCTTAATAATCATCTTCAATCATTAGTTAACTTTCTAAATTATGAATTGATTCTATCTCATCCAAAAGCAAAATCTCAATAGCTCTTTTTATTTCAATTTTGACTGTTACTTCATTTTCAGTAGTAGTAGCAGCTTTTGCGTCCAACTAAGATACTCTCTGAACAGCCTCTAAAACCTTTGACACCAGCTTATAATCACACCAAATTCCTCTGAATTCTAATCCATGCTTATTTGTATAAACACCATCACCAAACATAATATCATTTTTCCAGTTTCCCTTATAAGAACTGCCCTCAGGCCATTCAAATTCTCCATATCCATCCTTTTGATCATTTTTCCACTCTCCCTGATAGATTGTCCCATCATGGCTAATATAAATACCCATGCCATTCAGTATATGATCTTCTTGGGGGATTATGTCTTAAATATGCTAACGCTCAGTTGCAATTGATTCAGCATAGTGATACTATTCCTCAGTTACTTAACGCTCATCAAACAAGCTTTCATTCATTTCAGTATGAGTAACATCAGCATATTCTAATTCTTTGGCCTATTCAAAATGACCTATATACACATCCCTTTTATTTATAAGTTTATCTAAGTGTACCATTAAAATCATTCCCACTCCAAATTACTAACCCATTGTGTTGCTCCATTGTCCTTCATACCAAGTATGCTCATTTAATCTTCTCAATGGCTGATAACTTAACCAATCATTGCCATCAGTGCTACCAGATACATCGAAATCTTGATCAATCGGCAATCCTTTTTTAATTTCATAAACAATTTGCATGAAAAACTTTCTTTGAAATTCCTGCATTGACAGCTGAGATATCTTGTCTACCTTTTACTTCTCTTCTAAATAGTCTTCAATAGTTAAAATATTCTCCAGTTCCTCATATAAGTACTTTTGCTCAAGTTTGTGGCTTTTATTTATTATGAATGCAACAAGTTCTTCATTATCTTATATTTGCAGATACTCATCAATATGACTTTTAATCTTTTCAATAAATTTGATCTGGATGTCCACTGTAAACTAATTATTCAAGAGTTTATCAGTTGTAATTAATTGCAGTTCAATACAACTATGTAATCTCGCTGACATATTCTAAATCAGTTCCAAGCATTTTAATTTGGTATTCTTCACTGTATAGCTTTATGAGAATCTGCTCTCAATATCTTTGAATTTCATATCATATCTAAGGTATACTTAAACCATACCTTCAATGAAGTAAGGCATAATAGATCTTTGATCTTTCAATAATACATCTATACTATTCTGAAAACTAGAGAACATTTAGAGATGATCAGAGTCTTGATCCTTGAAGTTATACATCTCATCAAGTTGCACATTCTAATCTTTTTGCAGAATTTACAATGAAACATACTCCATCTTTTGAAGATCCGTTAGTTTTATCTTTGAAACTTCTTAAGGAAAAAAGAGGTATGTATCTTGCAGGAATATATAGTGAAAGTAGAGATTAAAGACTTTCTTCCAAGCTGATACTGTAAGAGGTCCACGATAAACAACACCAGACACTTAGCATTAAAAATCATGCTATTCCGCTCTGATTTTTTGGCAAATTGCTTTGATGATTTCATGTCTGGTTTTAACTTAAGGTGATAAAACCTCATCTGAAATTATCATTAAGTATTTAACTAGTTCTGTGTATTACATTATCACTAATTGATGTAGTCTCCATAGTTGTTAAATGTCTTTAACCTTAAACAGATTATTTATCTAGTCAGTAAAGTTAAAGTTCTTTGGTGTATTAAGCAAAAGATTCAAATACTAGTAATCTTGTTATTCAATTTACTGTTGTTATTACTCCTTTGTATTCTAATTATCTGTATTGTTGCACTGACTAATCTTTTTAAGATTACTTAAACTTGGGAAATGAAATATCGCAACTCTAGTGAATGCCTCTAAAATATGCAGCTTTATAGCGTATTCTTTGTAGTCAAAGAGTGTCTTTGTTTTATACTTTAATTTTTGTTGCTCTTATTAGAATATCATAGTCGCTTTGATTGCCGCTTCTTTAATCTCATTTATATCCTTGTTTACATCTCCATCGCATTTAGTGTGCTTTTAATTATGTTGTTTAAAGTCGCATTTTGCACAGAAAAATTCTTAGCGTTCGAAGCAATACATATCATAAAGTTTCTAGCAATCAGAGCATTGATCTTTTATAACTGGTATATTTGAAGCTCCAGCTGATTGATCTTTTTAAACTTACTGACCCATTATTAAAATTCAATCTAATGATTTTTTATTTTATATTGTTTCGATTTTATAATCAAACATAAAGTTTGACGGGGTTTTGGGGTTTTGGGG